GAGAAAGGATACCCTGTTTTGAGCACGCGATGTTTGATTAATGATATTGGCTCGTGTACTCGTCGCTTCGATCATTTTGGAATGTTCTATAACATGTTAATAAAAATGATTTTTAATTCCGGAGAATTCCTCTGATTATAGTAAAATTTCCGGACTATGATTAAAAACTTTGTTCATTAATGCCGGACGAAGGTATGAAAAAAATGAAGTTCTCAAGGCATGCATTATGAGATTTATCATAATGATTTCATAATTCGTAGCAGTATACTTTCTAGCGAGGTGCACATTTTAATCGCGCTAGTTACGTGACCAATAATTGTGCACCGTTTATATCGAGGTTAGTGATCCATGGTCATGAGTTAAGTTGGTTCGGCACGCTATGCTATGCAGAAAGTTAATCGCAGTATCGCGGCCAAGGCAAATTAGGAAATGCTTATAACGACTTTCATATGGCATTTGTAAGGACCATATAGATTTGTAATTGGATTGATTGTGTCACGTAAAGGAAACAGTTTAGCAAGTTAGAAATTTGAGAAAATATATCGAGAACTACTACAGAGTTTCGAGAACTACCATTGCAGATATTCAATTTGATAATGAATGTACTTTAAACCACTTAACTAAGAAATATAAACATTATATCTAATAATGTGAAATTTGAAAACTTAATTCTTCAAGCTATTGAAAGAAATCGTTTCCACTCGTATTTGCTTTATTAGTCTATTTTCAAGATGCAAATATCGTCCTTGCAATATCAAGAACAATCAGTGGAATAGGTACAAAAACGAAATTCCTACTTTGAAGCGTTCCCAGGGTCTCGATTCGAGACAAAGTCCGATCCTATATCCGAGAAATTCCCGGGGCGCGCGAGGTGTATCTCTCTCCGCACTTCCTGTCAAAGAGTTCAATTTAATTTCTGCTGTGCGATGGATAAGTTCGCGAAGTTACGCGAACGAATGAAGCGCCGGTGGAAGGTTGAAGCGTTAAACGGGTAACTTTTTCTTTCTTCTCGCAGAGGGTCCGAGACCGGATAGAAAGAACAATGGAATTTCGTTATTGCACATCGATGGGGGGTGGCAAAACAGTAAAATGTTTCTCGGCGTCCGCGTTTTATTCAACTCTTTCCAGCCCCGCCTCGGATCGATTCTTATGTGACGAATTTCTTTCTTACGTATTCTTGGTTCTCTCTCTCTCTCAGTGAATCTGTCAATTGATTGTGCATGATCGAATGCAAAATACGTGCTTACAGCTCTTTGTCAAAGATGAAAAAATGTGGAGTATGCCTTGAGAAATGAAAAAAGACAGGATGCGACTGCTACATATATATTTTACGCACTCAGATTTTATCGTTGACTGATTGCACAATGCGTTCCACCGTCGATGTCTGGCTCTCCAGTGATCAACGCTCTTTGTTAATTCGTTTTTCGATGACAATAACCACTATTCAAATCGGAACAAAAGAAGAGAAAGTCTAGTGGTCCTCAACGGATTGCGTAAAATTTAATAAATTCGCCTATTTTTATAACTTACATTTGCAAAACAATTATTTACGTTGTGCATGGTTTCACATTTTGCACTGGAAACGCTTTTGTCCAAATACTAAAATTTTATTTTTCGTCGGAACGGCAAAAATTCGAATTTTTGCGCACATTTTTCTGTACGCTGTTTCGCCTAAATTAAATGAAACGGTTATCCAGATAGAGTGTTGTAGTTGATCACGGGCGTGTGCGGAATATCGAATCACATGCTATAAACCGTACGCACCGATTAATCACCAAAACAGCAGTCATCGGTAATCTTTTTCTCTACGCTTCGTGCCGCGTTTATCATTGCAATTTTTGCATGGCTGCATACTTTTCACTGTCCACACACTCGCCGGTATGCACATAAATACAGGGGTTGGAAATCAACCGTTTCAAACCGCGTGGACAGAAGTATCCATCAGTTTCATATTAAAATATCAATAATATCTTCGTTTCATTCAAGGGCTTATATTCATGATAATAGTAGATATACGATACCAAAGCTTTCTCATGTAGCCAGCCTCGGACGAAAGTGAACAGTTCCCAGGCAATCATTTTTATGTCATTATCAGGAATCCTGAATGGAGATTAAGCAAACATTCGCATCTGAATCTACACTGTCTGCCGGCATTGAATCAAATCTCTGACTCGGCAGAATCTTGTTAGCGCAATTAAGAAATTGGCTTACCACTTCTCTGATTTTGTAAATAATTGACTGGGTAATTTGATTTTGCTAACTCTAAAGTTTGTTATATTACATAATAATATTATAATCAGCGACAACAGTGTTTAGGTACACGTCGATGTATGTGTCTTGATTACAAGGACAATATACCTAAGCTTGTCTAGATTACGCAAAGATGATTTGGCTTAATTATGCAAGGGTGCATTTATCGGATTACTGCAGCCGCGTTAATCAGAATTATGCTTAATTTCTCTGGTTAGCATTAAGTGCTTCGTAGAGGTCTTATTATTAGAAACATTAAACGACCATACTTTGAAAATAATTTCATACTTATTTTTAAACATGCTCAAATTGTTTCATATCAAAATTTTATACATACTACCATATTCATTACATGCAGTAATTATTTTACAAATGTAATGAATTTCGATCTTGAAAGTAAGCAAAGAATATTATTCTTATAGTATATAAAAAATTACTTGTTTGTTTTCTTTTAAACTGTCTCAATCGTACATTATTGTTATTTATGCGCGATAAGAGAGACAAGTTGAACACCCTCCGATGGGGATAGAAATTGAATGGGTTGTCACTGCGTCATCGCTACCCTCATAATAATTATGTACGAAGGGTGACGAGAAGCGAAGTGTTACAACCCTCAACAAAGTAGTATCATTTGAGTTTGTCATAGAATCGATTTAAAGTGGAGGACGAACGTTTTTTAAATTTCTGATCAATTTATATTTTCATGTAACAAATACAATGTAAATTAATTTATATTTATACGTAAAAGACATTTGAATTATTCAGAGGGCAACTTATATCTGTGTTTTATATAACCAAGTCATCCATTTGTTACAAGCGACATTATTTACTGCAGTGTAATGGAGATTGGCTTTAAACTACATTGACACGCTGGTTTATCTACCGTGCAAATCGCGGTCGATGCCAACTTATAATGCGATTTCCACGCTCTTATCGCTGTTCAACCTTTACCGCGTTAATCCAGCTATGAAGCAGAATGAACAACATGTTCGAAGGTTGCTATTCAAGTCAATAATAATTAGTACAATCGTAGAATTTCCATCAATCATTTATTATCAAACCTGTTTTGCATTAACAAGATAACTCAGTTATAAATTATAATCATTAATAAATAAAGAGAGAAATTTTGTTAAGAAAAAGAATATCAATTATTTACCTAATTATATCAACGAAACAACTTATTTCTACTTTTCCTTATAATTAGACACCATCGCTAATAATTCTTCGCGGGCGAAAAACAACGTGAAGAAAAACAAGTACAAGTGATTGTTTCATCTTGTCGCGGATCAACTCCGCCCTGTATCGTTCGCGACGCACGTATTTAAATGGCAGCAGGGAAAGAAAGAGAGCGAGGCATACGAGGGAAAGAGTCAGCGAGATCTCGAGTACGAATGCGATAGGCAGGTGTCACGCCATCGCGACCCCCCAACGCGGCGATTACCACGATTACAGGTGACTCCCGGCGGGGTCGCCTCCGTTGACATTGCATCACGAAGCACTAACCGCATTATTTATGCCACCTCGTAAAACTTGTGGCGTGCCTAAACACACTACTCGCTCCCGCCTTACCCCTTTCGCCCGGAGAAGTTACATGGATCAGAGGCGGGACAGAACTTCTGTTTGTGAAGCTTACCACCTCCGCAACGAGCCCGGTGGCATTGCTCGCTCGTATCAGGGATGGTTAAACGAGACTAAACGTTAGGACACGTGAACCCTTCGTCAACTTATATCCGTGACATCAAATTTGAATTAGAAACAGAAATTACTTTCTTAAGAAAGGGACTAAAGCATCAAAAAGTATATACAGCATATTTATGTATCATTTCTGTACAATTTTTATGAAAAATTTTACATTGGAAATTCGGACGCTGCCCGTGGTTCAGAAACTCGGATCAATAAGCGAGGAGAGTGTATTTTGTCACGAGCACGAAATAAGAAGCTCGCTGTAACAAACGGGGATAAAGTAAAAATGGATCTAGTGTGAAATATTGCATGCGTATAATGATATGCAAGCCGAGAGGGGTTTCTCGTTTCTCTGTTACAACGTACTTCCTACCCGAGATATGTTTATTACGCACGTGCACGTTTGTTTGATGAATGTGTACTCACTGTGGAGATAGCTATTGTTGAGTGAAATTTGATAACATTTTATTTATGGTAGTTAAAAGTACTTAAATCTATTTTATTCGCGATATTTCACCCCGAACTTGTTTTCAGATCTAATCATTCTTAAATAATTTGATAAAAAGGTGATCTTTGAAAGTTCATATAGCATTCTTTTTACCTGCTAAGTGAATTCAGAAATGGCTCGAAGGCTATTACACGAAATAACGGCGTGGCATAAAGAGATTCGAAGATTGAGTATGAAATATTGCATGTCTATAATCATAGTCACTTCAGCTTAGGAGATCACGCCAGACTTTTCGTGTCGGCATGTCTTATCGGTCTACGATTTTCAAGCTATTTTTATTAAACATCCGTTATCGGTCGTCTCACGTGAATACCACGCTTAACGCGAATAAGAAACGACGCCGGAATGTTTTCCATTCGATGTTTTACCGTCGCGAACCACCGATTCCGTGTTTCTATTCATTCCTGCCGGGCATTCCATTTTCATTCGAAGCCCAGTCTCATTCCCTTGTGAAAACTCAATCCCATTTCATTTTGTTCGCCGATTTCGTTTGTTCCCGAAACGAAAAAACACGATGCGTTTATAAAGATTTGTTTCCCTTTTCCCCGTTTGTTTACAGTTGCCGTACTCGATGGAGTTGGATTACGACGTGGTCGGTGTCCCGGGCGGTGTTTCCGGTATGATGGCACTGCTACCACCGAGAGTGAACGTGTCGGCTAGGGGTGAGGTACCAGTTACCTTGCAAGTCTTCAGGATCAGACTACCGTGTTCCGGCCTCGTCAGCGCCGAAATTCCTTTGGCTTTGAGGTTGAACGTCACAGCACCACCTGGCACCAAATACAATGACACCATTCTAGTATTCAAAAGGAACAAGATTTGTTTCAAAGGTAAACGACAGGATTAAGAAACCGTTGCTTTACAATCATGATACTATAAATAATTAAAATATAGATAATTGAATCATTAAATAAATTATTAATCGGAGCTTACGAGTAGTGCGGCAAATTATTTTGGAAAAACGCAGCAAAATTTTCACGGTTTAACGAGTACGCGCTCGCGTATACATGTATTATACATGGTAAGTGTGTGTCTCACGCGAAACCGTGTAAAACCGTGTCAACGCGTTTGCGAACAAGTATTTTAACACGATGGCGGACCGTCGATAATTGCTCGGCTTACGTAATCGCGAATTTAATTAGTACGTTCACCGGGATCGTTGAATGCCTTCGTTACCAATCGCGACGCAATTTCGACTGGTGGCCGCGCGATTAAAACAGGGAGAGGGCCGGCCCGCATTCGTTCGCCCGCGCCCGTTTCGATTCGCGAATTCTGCGCCCGCGATTTATAGCCCTTTGTGTAACAGGCGATCGGTAACAACGCGCGATGCATAATTTCTGCAAGCAGAATTTCGTACATGCGACCCTGCTCGCGTGCACCGATGATATCTGGCCCCCGGCCTCCGCCTCCCAGCGAAAATCGAGTGATTAAACTTCGGCCGCACCGATGGGCCAGCTAATTTCGTTTAATTACATCGCACGCGTACCCCTGAACGCCGCAGCAATCTGTCGCGAAACTTTATTATTCCCATTCGTACCTCTGTTTATCAAAAAGTAGAAATTATGTTATAAATTTTCGCACGCGTTAAATGCGCTCTGGACGTCGTATTAGAAGAGAGGTAACAGATAACAAACTCGGTAAGATTCTGTAAGTTCAACAAGAACACTTGCGAACAACTTGCCTTACTTGGTTTAACGCAGACAACCTAAACTTAAGTTTCAACAGCGTACCCTTCATTATACGCGGTTGGATAGAGTAGGAAAGAATCACAACGATGGAGTTCCGGATGAAGTACAGAACAAAAACCACTCGATCATGGTAGGCAAGTTCCAGAATGGGAAATGAGATCTCCCAGTGTTCTTACTCATTTATTAAACCAGAAAAACAAAGATAATTTTTAGCAATGTTCCCATAAATGATTGTACCTCACTTGATGAAAAGAAATCTTCAAACGGATCATTAAAATTATGTCTTTGTTACTTGAGCAATGGATTCATTGTCATAATGAATATAATAGAATCCCAATTAAAAATTCACATTCTTCATGTTTCAGGTAAATGAGGATAGTTATTGGTAATCTCATTATATTAAAGAATGAAATCAATCGTGATGGACAAGATGAATATAACGTTTAAAGGGGATGAATCACTATGAATCCCTATTTTCTTTTTCTCATCGCGTTAAAAATTTTTTTGCTCGTTATTGTCACATGCATTGCCTTTTAGTATTCTCGCGAATCTCAATATAAATCTAATTCTTTCGCTTATGGATCCGTGGCATATCCAAAAATCCTGCAGTTTTCACCTTCAATCTTCGCAGCACGTATCTCCGTCGAAAAAATCGGCTGTGTACGTTGCTGAGAGACGTGATTCTCATGACAGCCGGTGAGGAAACATCCCCGTCCCTGGAAATCGACAAGAGCAGCGAGTAATATCGGCGAAACAGGAAGTAGTATAAGCAACATTTCGTCAGGCAGGTAGATGGAATTGAGTCTCGTCCTATCGCCAGCAGGAAGAGCTCTATACGCGTTTACCCGCATCTTGGTCGGGTCAAGAGAACAGGAAAACTGATCGGGGAGGAGGAAAACAGCGAACAGGCAGGAAGAAAGGAAAAAGTGGAGAAATAACAAGTAGCGAGGAGGAGAGAGTTGACAGACGCTGATCCATATCCGGTTACCTAGTGCGGGAGACGCTACAGCGAAAAGCAATCCGCCGAATAAAATTGAATCTCGTCAGGAGTCGGTGTATTTAATGAAAGTGAAGAGACGAGAGGGTCTCGGCGAGTCCGAAATGAAGAGGATCGACCGCATAGAAAAACGGCATAGAAGAGGGTGGAACGGAAGCGCGAAGAGGTGGAAAATAAGTAAGCGGCTCGGCCTGGTCGTTGCGGGGCGATGAGTTGTGTAACGTTGGCGAAGGTTTCTTCTCTCGGATTCCCACTTTCTTCTCGTTTCTGGTCCGCTATTGGTCGCGGTCGACGCTCTCCACTTTTTAAGAGGTCCTGCGGAAATCTGAAATCGTTTGAAGACCACTTGAAAATAATCGAATCTCGTCTTGAGCTCTTCGAGTGTCTGTGTTCCGGCTGTGTATACACTAAGCTAAAAACGTGCGACGCTGGTCTTGTGAGGATAACGTCGATAATGGAAAGAAAAGTGCTTTGGTACTTGTAAACTGTGTTTTATAACATTTTAATGAAATCAAAAAATATCGGAACATTTAACCATGAGAACAACAAATGTAGAAAGACGTGGCTAATATTTCCGATGATGGATGAATCATCCCATCAACGCATATTTCACAATATCTTGCCACTTTACAAAATGATTGAATTCCTCATACAACGACAAAACGAAAATTAATCTTTTATTAGCCTATCGATAAATCAGGAATACACCCCGTGATTTAATTGCAACAAATTAACGTTTGAACGGGAAGCGCTGCGACACGTTTGTGCGTGCACAGCGTGTTACACGAGTAACATCAAACGAATCAAAGATTGATGTAACATCACCACAACTCGCGCGTGTATTGGAAACGTTTGCCGCGGGACAATTAATGTAAAATTAATCGAACTATAAATGAACGAACGTCGAAACGACGGGATTACGTATGAATTATTCATCCCGTTAAAGTCGAGGGCATCTTTCGTTTACCCGATAAATAGATGTAATTTACGCATATTCGACGCGTCGGAATGAAATTTGTAGGCGCCGTCGTCGGGACGCACGGTGAACGCGAACCGGCGGACGGCGGTTTTGAGGAGGAGGGTCATTCCGTTGATCCCGCAGGGACTTAATTCCGGACCTTCGTAAATCTCGGTTAAGGTTTGTTTGGTATAGCCTCCTCGGATAGCATCGCCTGTCGGGATTTAACCGGGATACACCTCTTTGCTCCTAAACGCGCCTCTACCCACGACTTCGCGCTTAATCTTAAACCTTGCCAAACTCCTTGCCAGTGCGTCGACCAAGTTTAATCGATTCTTCGTCGTGTACTCGAGCGACGCGAGCAAATTGATTCCTTTGTACCGAACGTCAGTTAACCTTCCCCCAACGTTCTTTTTCCTTTAATTAAAAATCAACCGCTGCCGTTTCTTTCGAAGTGTTACACCTTACCGTCGTGTTGATTATAGGAATCAATTCCCCAATGTTTGAGCCAGTCGATTTAATCCGATTAAAGTCTTATAGATACTTAAAAAGCAGATTGGATATTATAGCAGGGTATAATGAAAATTAGAATAGGAAAGAACATAAATCTATCTAAAGATTCTAGCATGGATCATGCTAATTATCCTACTTAGATCAGGCAATCGAGCGAACATCCAGCATTCTGCAAATTCGCGGTTCCTCGAGCACAAGAGAACAGAAAGTAACGCCTCTGGTAAAAGCAACTTTCAACTAGGATCTGCAGAAAAAACGGGAACTACTTAAAGAGAAAAAAAACTTGTGGTTAGTCTGGCGTCCGTTGTACCGTGCTAAGGGCTAAGGGACATTTTAAAAAGATGTCGGTCCCAGTACAAATAAATAAGATTCCATCTAAGAAGTTGGCGGCAGGAACAGTGGCAGCAGCAGGAGCAGCCACGAGCCCGCACGGTTTATTTAACTTTTTCTCTACTCTCCACCGGCTCGGCCCGGCCTTTTTTTTCTCGGCCGCATCTCATCGCGCTCGAACAAATTCCTCCTCATCCCCAGGAACGTACCGCGAAACGCTTCCGCCGTTATCGCGTAAAGCTCGTCTGTCCGCTTTGCGTTATTTATCCTGGCAACGGCACGGATCCCGTTTTTCTCGCCACTTTTGTCTGAAACCAAACGAGATAATGCAGACGCATAAAAAGGTTGCAATTCGTTAGTGACGGCGCATAAATCTACATTGTCCCACGGGCTCCGGCCTGAAAACTCTATGGCAATTTCGATGCGTTTCTTACGACAGAATTCTGCGCGTGACAAATTGAACTTAACAAATGAATTTCCAATAACTAATATTTTATTGAACAGTTCTTCTCGAGACGTCGGCTCCATTTGTCCACAAGTTTAATAAGCTTCAAATATAAATCGGTTCTTTCGTTGGGAGATCCCAAGTTGCCTGTGGAAAAGTTTCACTAGTAAATTTGTAGCATTCGATAGTTTTAAGGGAATCGAGTTGCCGAGTGTCTATGTGCTGTGTGTGTGTGCGCGCGCGCGCCATAGCTTCTTTATTAAAGTATCCCAGGCTTGGACTTTCATTAAAAACGCCGAACAAACGGAGAGGGGAATGTCTTCGGAGAATCAAAGTGTAGTTTCAGCAGCGAACCGAGGGACCCGTGAAATTTATTAGAGTTCGCCGGTACCTTTGCAATTCCGTGAAACGGGAAAAGACGCCGGTTTATAGACAAGTAAGGGAAATTGTAATCAAAGGGAAGAGGAATGCGACGGAGTCACAATAAAACTTGACGATTTCACGATGCGAGCCGAAAAAAGGAAACGGCGAATTGTTTCGCGCTATGCAATTTGCGATAAGTAAAATGTAATTCGCGTCGTGCCGCGAGGTAGAAAATTTTCCCGATAAAATGAACGCAAATGCATTCGCGGCTGGCATGAAACGCGGCTTTGTAATTTGTATTGCGGCATCGGAGAAAGGAAACGCAAAAATTTCATTTCTGTGTAACGGACGGGATTCCTGAAACACAAAGGAAGGGAAACGAGCAAAGAGTTATGTAGGGCGGAAAGCGCAAACGAACGTAAAAAGAAATCCGACAAGTCCGGGAGGACGGCTGCGCGATGCAGAAAACTCGTCGTTTGCGGTGGTCGAACAGGCCAGGAGGGCCGATTCAAAGGGATTTTCTTCCTTCCGAGTACACCCTTAACTCGCAACCCCGCGGTTGCTCGATGTCGCCCGCTCGATAGCGGCTCGATACGCGAGAGGGACCGAGAATTCGTGGCGGTGTGTCAGCCGCAACGTACATAATTTAAAAAGAAATGCTCCGAAATAGCACTCATTCTTCAGCGATTCAATTCAGATTATTATATCATTTTATACTTTCTACTTTGAAGTAATTCGAACATAAGTCATATTAACGCGCAGCTTATTTCAATTATTTTTTAATTTTATGATCGTAATTATTCTCACTGTCGGTCACTCGCGTATAAACGTGTCAATCAGTAATTCGACGTGTCGACCATTCTTCGATAAAATCGGTTGCACGGTGCGGCCACGCCGAGTGGGCAACGGTTCAATCGACAAAATGGATTGTCGATAGCATAATGCGGCTTGAACACGCTTTGTGGACGTAATACAATTATTTTACGCCGGCACAGAAGTCTGCTCATTAAATTGCGCGCGAATCTATGTTAATGGCCGCACTTCTCTGTTATTACCCTGTCAAAGTCATGCGCGAACGATGGAATACCGACTGCGTGCGTTGCCGATGCGAATTCACGTCGCACCCCCACGATCTATGAATCTTTGAACAAAATTTCAACGCGCCCGCTGATATTGCGTTTCTCTCTATAATGATGACAGCACACAGGGGATATAAATTTCATTCGATGATCATTGATGATAGCATTGCGATTAGAATTTTAAAATCGCCTGGAACGTGGATAAACGTGCAAAATTTTACCACCAATTTAATGCGAAAACTATGTAAAGTCACTGAAGGATTATCCTCATCACAAAATTCTGATGCTACTAAATAAACCAAAATACATGTATACTATAAGTGGAAACTTTATTCCAGAAAAATAAACAGTAAATAATTAAATGGTATTAAAGCACAATTTTTGAAATATTAAACGTCGTTGAATTCGCTGGCCAGAAAAATTTAGAGAGGAAACTGGGATTTTTGTTACAGGAGTACAAGCACCGCCGAGGAACGATTCGGTTCGTCTCGAGCCAGGACCTCTGGTAAATGGTGCCGGAGCACTTTACGTTGCCGCGACGTGCGCGTGTGCTTTAATATTAGTCGTCGGAAGCGTGGCGAGTGCCATGTACATTCGTAACAGCAAGGCCCGCATACAAGAATCACAGTAAGTACAGTTAAAATTCATTAGCCTCCAAACATTGTGCAATCTGCTCGAACAAAAACTCATCTAACCAGAGATATATTTTTATAATTTTAATGCCATGGTAGCTTGACTCTAAAATAGTGAAAATTCAATCACCGAGGAAAGATTATTGAAGAGTGGAAGTTTCATTAAGATATCTTTACGTATCTGGTAAATAGAATTCGTATTAACTTCGTTTCTAACGTTCTTATTAACAATCTAGATTAATCTTCGATTTTTATTAATCGAACTATTTAAATGACTTCGACGTTGTCTTAAATTATAAAACATTGAGTAAGAATACGATTTGCTCATTGATCGGTTCACTGACGAATAAATCAGCATCAATGTCGAGCCTGCGATTCAAAAGCGACAACGTGCATATGTAGGTAGTCTCATAAGATTCGCACGACTGGAGGCTTTTTCACGTATCGCCGGTCACATTCTCGTTTCTCTGGAGTACCCGACGAGTGAAAAGTCTTCTGCGCGTGTTACCGGTTGCCGTGAATTTTCCGGTGGATGCGGGAACCTGGGATACTTGGACCCTCGACCTGATTCTCTGCGAGGGTAGAGACAGAAGAAGAGGGCAGAGAAAGATTTCTACACCCCGCGGGAAATTCATGGGATAAGCTGGATAGGAACTCGTCCGCATGAAATATCCTTTCAATAAGCCCCGGTGATCCGTCGGTCGCTTGCCACGGCAGCCGACATTTTATTGCACGGCTACACGCCACCATTCGAAAGAGGACTCCTGCGGGAGAGAGCGTAAGCAGCGAACCCCGGAGAAAGGGATCCTACTTCTTTGCCTCTTCCTTTGGCTGATCTTCCCTTTCTGCGCGAGCCACTTGTCTCTTTCGCGGATGTACGGAACGAGCCGTCTAACTCCGATGATGCTTCCCTTATTTGAAAGGATCGAATGAAATGGACCGTATCTGTCTAGATACTATAGGAACACATTTTTCTTTACTTAATATGTAGATCATTATTAGCTTACGTAACTCATATTGTACAATCTGGAAATCAGTAATCTAATATTTAAATCAATTTTTAAATATTCTAGTTAGTATTCATTTGTTATAAGTGTCCTTCGTAGAAAACTCTTGAATTATTTGAACTCCGCAAGTTAATCCACATAGTTACACTTGCGCTTCGAGATGTTGCTGAAGTTGCGAAGTCTTATTAACAATCTCAGTAACTGTTCACAGTTGAGCTGTTAGGGCTCGCGACTTCCAACCAGCAATTCCTTAGCTCGGTTGTAGGTACTTTCACGAAAGCCTGGCGTCCACCTCCTTGCGGTCACCAGCATTAACCAGGCACTGGGTCGTTCGGCTAACAAGTTCTAACAAACGTCATTCCTCGGCTTTGCAGCCCTTTAGTCCCGGCTCGTAACACCAGCCATGAAAGTGTGTGCCCATTCTAGTATGACAATCACCGAAACTGTTAAAGCCACGTGTTTCCGAATTTAATAATTCGAAGTTAAGCGACCAATTTATATCATTAAATATAGGAAATAAAGTTGAAACAAAATAGTTTTTAATTATAATTAAATTCCCATTAAAACATGAACTCCGAGTTTATGTTCGAACATTTTAGAAACAGTGTTAGTTTAATACGTACTTAGGTGGTAACTATAAAATGAGAGAGTATAATAAGTATTTGATATCAGACGTTCTCTTTACGTCTTATAAAGATTTCTCCATCGGGCTCTTATAACCCATTTCGTAATGCATAAATTATTAGATATACCAAGGAAAAAAGATCTTATACGTTGAGATTCCGGGAAAGAAAGATCCGAGGCGAAGTTTCAAGGAAGAGCTTCCTCCTCTCGCTCCTGGTTCCATCCGCTCCTTTCTGGCTTTCCTCCTCTTTATGCAGACTTGTCGTACTTCCTTTGAATATATTAGTTCTTCCGAGACTTCCGGCATGCAATTTTACGCCCGATTTACAGGCGAAAAAGTGTAACTTAAATCCTCGAAATGAAATTCGGTTTAACTTATTTCTTATATATATCTGTTTTCTTTTTCCATCTGTTATATGTTATAATCAACGCTTTAATTCCTGTTGATTATTTTGCATGTTCGATGAATTAAATTGATTTTTATCTCTCCTCGCGATATTTTCATCACCAGTCGAAGTTGCTTGGTTCGACTGATTGGATGATGGAATAATCACAATGAGTATACTGACTTTAATAACAATTTTTGTACTTTCTATCTAGGCTAAGGCATTAAGAATGTCACTTAAGGTAATCCTAACGCTTGAGAGAATTACGTTTTAATATGTCAAGATATGAAGTAAGTTTCATTAGCAGTAAAATATTATAGATAGATACTTCATGGAACACGTTATTGGATTAAAAGCCGTATTAAGGCTAATTCTAATTAAGAGACGGTCTTTGCGATAGTCGTATTAACGCTCGGACGTACGAGAAATCTACTTAACGGACGTGCGACGGACATACCAGCAAGAGCCTTTACGCGCTTTAATTGTACGTTCGATTGAACCTTCGTTACATCCGACATCAAGGAATTGTAATACTTGCACGATTACGCGATAATGAGATTACGAATGAGATTCAAGGCACGGTAAAATTATGAAAATGAAATTGGAAGACACAAAACTTCTGAGAACGGCCATTCCATCTTCATTCCCTTTGTACCTGAATCTTTCCAAAGTAGACCAATTGTCTCCTACCGGCCGTTATTAAATCGTTTGAAGTTTCTCATCGTGAATTTTTCCCCGACAGTAGGAGCCAGTTCAAGATCCTTCTTCCACCTTTGACGACGAATATTACCCTCGGCTACTAATTTTAATACGTACCGGTTCCTGTCTCTCCCGGTGTTTACTCTCGCGTCCGTTGGCCTACATTAACGTTTCTACTACTTGTACAGGGAAGAGTACACTAGCCTCGGAGGATTATGCCTAACTTTAATATCGCAGAATTGCGGGCCATAAAGTAAATTTATGAGTGTCACGGATGGGGAAGAAGAGGAAGTTCTCGCGTTCTACTGTCCTCTTTTGCCAATCCATTTAATACGCATACTTGATAAGGACATAAATTTTCTTCGTAATACACATATCGTTGTGATGGTTGCTTATAATCGAACGCGATCTTTATTTTATAAATTGTACTCCAGCAAGCCTGTTTCATGATTTTATAATTTTTAAAATTACAAAAATCGTTAATATATTAATTCTAAATATGAATACCTCGAAGATACAATTTCCTCATCCCCTAACGGGAATATTTTTATGATACGGAATTTTTATGAGAAGGGGAAACGTGAAAGTAGTCTGCCTCGATCATCTCAGCCACTCTGCTCCTTTCTCGTCTTCCGCTTTGGGGAAGTCTGTCGGCGTCGGCCAATTGTCTCTCGAGGGATATATTAGCTCTTTTGAGGCTCTCCGGGCTGATAACGCGCGGGAAAACGAGGCTTTAGGATCCTCCTGCAGCCCCTTATACGCCTTCTCCGGGGGCGAGACTGCAGATTTTACATCCGTCCGCTCGAGTAAACACAGCATCCCACCCCCGGGTTCCCCGTTACCCGTGTTCAACTCTGTGCACAAAGAACAGTTTTGGGATTCGACAAGAACACGCGCAACTCTTTGTGGTCGAACTGCTCCGTTCGCGAACTAGGGTAAGAAGCCTCTTGCATATGTTGCTAATAAAGCAAACACCTTTTGGAGAACGATAATCTGATTTACCTTAAGCTGTTGCATTAAATTACCCATTCTTTCGAGCTTTTGTGAGAAAAGCATACGAAGTAGCGTCAAGCACTTGATTTAAGAAAATATCAGCCAGCTCGTATGTTTCGGTATCTAACATTTATGACAGATCGCGTTTACGTATTCGACATTGGCGAATGCGAGATTATAAGGAAACAAAGCGAATTGAGCATGCTAAATTCAAAGTTGCGCCGCGCCGTGAAATACAGTCCGCAAATCCCCCCAGGCGTGGGTACAAAGAATCGCGAAAAACCGTAGCGTGGAATATCTGAAATCGTTGCCGCGCCTCTCTTTTTCGTTCAACTTCTACCTTTTTTTTCCGTGCCGATTCGCGCCGGATGTACATGTGCAAAACGGCCAATAAATCCGACGAAATATTGGAATTACCGTTCCTCCGTGAAATTTCCCTCCCTCGCAGTATTTTAGTTCTCTCGCTGTGCCGTTCCCGCTCTTCGTTTCTCTTCGTCTCTTATCTCGCCGCTTTTGAGGCGCTCTCTCCGCTCTAATATCTCTGCTGCGAAGGGGGAGCGGACCCTCTTTGAAAATTTTTCCCCGCAGGCTAAGCGGTAATTTCACACGCTACGAGGACCTTCGACAGGATCGATCATACGACGGCGGATGTAATCGTAAACTTCCTGCCGTGTCAAGCCGTGAGGCTAAATAAGAAAGGAACGACAGATCTTTTCATGTTGCTTGAAGATTTTATAACGTTAAAAGGAATAAACGCGATAAACATGGATTATTTTCAGATTTTTGAAATTCTATTATAATATTAATTTGATAGAATGAAAATCTTTGCACTACACGTAGTTTTATAATACACGATATTATACTGTTACGTATTAAACGTGAGCAAAAATAAATCTAACGTACAAATATAGCACCGGCACTTTGCAAAGAAGAGATAAAAACTAATGATTCAATAATTTGGAATGGTTAATTAAAATAGATAGTCATTATAAACTTGTTTTTAAAGTAATATCATTTCAAGCAGAGGCAGGATTCAGCGCTGAAGTGACCTAATTTGAATACTACAAGAAAAAGTTTTTAAAATTCTTCCTCATTCAGTTCGTATCTTCTATCTTACAGAAACGAATCGCAAGCTTAAGGA